GAGTCTTTTTTATGCTACTACAAACTTAATAATGCTCAAATTTTCACCTGGATTGTGAATTACTGAAATCACAACTACGTTTAGAAAGTAAGCTGGTAATTTCAGGTACCAAGATGTCCCCTCAAGTGCATAATGCCGATGCTGTGCATGTAGCCAAGATTGACTCTCACGTGCATACATAGCAGATCTATGTGCTTTTTGGGAGCAATGCTCTCGATGCCAGTCATAACTCCAAGGTATTTGAAGTAACGTTTTTGTGGGCTAAGCCAGAGAAAGAATTTACCAGCTAGAGCTTGAGTATTTAAAATGCGAGTTGCAGTGTAATTTGTATTTGGCTTTCTAATTCAACAATAAGTAACTTTATATTAAAATCTACCCAGTGTACACACCACATCCTTCTAGTTTTTTTAGTGCTGTCCATCTTCAAAATTTTCAGCCTCGGCCTTGTGTACCTTCTTTTGTATATAAGGCCGCTTCTTCTGAAGATTCAAAAGAAACTCTGACACCCTAGGCGTTTCTGTTGGAGGGGAAACCCTTGTGCTCTAAAACAACAACGGTTATTACACACAATTATGCCTTCAGAAACGTTGACCCACTCCGACTCATTGCACTCAGGAGTAGTGACAAGCTCAGTCTCATTGCACTTGGGAATGGCGAAGTGTAGCTGCTTGCACTTGGCGACAATTTCTTTCATGTGAGAATCGTCAGCTTGAAGGTCAGCACTTATATCTGTGGGGGTTCAAACATGGCAAATAAAGTCTACTGGCTTATACTCGCTGTACATATCAAGATTGACAACATCAAAATTGAACATGATTATTTTTGAAAAAGAAGAGTAATAGTATGTGAATATAGGCAATTGTGATGCCTCAAACAAATTGTTGCCATTTATTGTTATCCCACATGGCTCAACTCCACAGTCTCACATCCAGAGACGAAGCACAACTAAGCACTACAAAATGATACAAAATAGCCACGATGCTTTACCCTGCAACTTGCACAAAACTGAAAAGGCCTCACCTCATAGATTAATTCGCATGGACATTTTTGTTTCATATGGCCCTGAGGACCTGGTGTCGATTTAATTCGCATTAGAACCCTTTAACTAGTTTATCTAGAGTTGCCCATATTGATGCCCCACAGGGGAGTAATATATCAGTATCAGTATCATCATCATTATCATGCTACCTTGCGAACGACGCAACTAATACCCATTGGCTAGACAGTTCTATGCCTGAGCTAAATAGCAAGACAGATCTGGTAACCAATCAAGAGCAAGCAAGCAAGCTAGTTGGCATCTAGCTTTCTATTATATACATCTATACTAATAAACTGCTCTTTATGCTGTTGCGAGCTCTGCAGCTTGTGCAGCTCAAAATGGATCATCTACTCTGTCTACATCATGATCCACATCACTACAGTGATACTCATCACAGAGAACATGTGCAATGGCTCTCCATCCCAAATGCCAAGGCTATAAAAGCCAACATTTCTCCCTCTTCCTTTTATATTTGTTTTCCTTACAATTAAAAACTTGTTACAGGACTCGGGCAGCAGCCACATGGCGAGCCACAACTCGTCTGAGGATGAGCTGCGGTCTGGACTGAGCTGGAGAAAAGCTTTATCAAAGTCTGTGTGTGGACACATGTTGCGCGGGCAGTCACAGAATTCTTAATTGTTTTTCTTTGTTAAACAATACTAAGTATATTTTTATAAGTCTACCCGTCATGATAAGTAGCCACTTTAAACTCTTTCAAAGTCTTCTAAAGGTTCCTGGTGAACATCTTATTCACCTTATGCTCTATTTTTCTTATTCTCATGTGCACCTTAAATATGCCCCTGTAACAATGCGAGCTAACCTAGACTCGCTTGCACCTATTTTCCATGTCTACCTGTTTCCTGACTCATAGCGACCAAACAAGGGTTTTATAATTCAAAAGCCTAGAGCCTCTCTACCCCTCTCCATCTTTATTCTTGATACAGAGGGTGATCTGGTGATTGCTCTGCCTGAATAACTATGCCCTTGCTCAATGATCATCAAGCAAACACCTCTACAACATGAACAATATACTGATCTCCTTCAGAAACAAATCGCTACAGGTAGCCGGCCACCTACATCACATTATTCAGTATCACCAGCAGTCAGCTACAGATGACGACACCAACGCCCCGGCTGCACCTGTTAATCCGCCCACTGCGGCAAGAAACGATTTTTTTTAATTTAAATTTATCACAATAAATTCGCGCTTAAAGGTTGCGCCAAAAAAACATGAACAATATACTGAGCCTACCGCCACAATTGACATGTCCCAATAAAGCACCAGTCATGAGACAGAAGATAACGTAGAAGTTCTTTGTCTTTAAATACATCGGCCAGTTCAGGATGCAAAGGGTCCAAAAATGAAAGATCATAATAATAAAAAATTACTTTGGAGTATCGGGGTTTCGATCCCCGGACTTTTCGCAGATTTGCTAGTGTTGCAAAGCGAATACTCTTCCACTGAGCTAATACCCCATCAGTTTTGAGCTAAACTCGCAACTTCCATATATTGGTGACCAGACTAACAGAAGCGCTCATTGCGCGATAGCGGGAGAAACACGTGACGAGCCGGGCGAGGGGGGATTTTATTTTTTATTTACTTTTCTTCTCTACTTGTCCGTTTCTTGAATGAGCCAATCAGAGAACAGGAGCAAGCCTACCCTAAAGCAATACCCGCAAACACCACAAACAACTGAGAGCCTTTTCAAATTCCGCACCAACATTGGAACCACCTGGCACTGACAACCCAGGCATTCTGCCTGTGTGGCCAGGTGCTAGTCCTGGTCAGTCCTATGCTGTGGCAGTACTGAACGGCCAAGTCCAAGCAGTGCCAGCTGAACAGGGAGCCTTATCAGCTCCAAAGCTGGTGAAATTCAGTACTTTCAACACACTCTCTGGCAGCAAGCTCAACTACAAGGAGCTGCCACCCCAAGTCATAGGTGAGATCCCACATACTCACTACTGTGCATATGACATTCCAGTAGGGATTTCGAAGATCAACTGGATGATGGCCTATTTCCAAGTTCCCACTATGGAAATGAACCAAACTGTAACCAATCTGAGGATGAATGTAGGCATCATCACTGTCTCCAATGACAAAGATCTGTCTATCCTTGAGGCTACAACTCTCATGGTCAAGGGTGAACCAGTGCTGCATAAGTGCATCATCATCCACAAGGACAATCTGGTCTACATCTACATTTCTGGCCTTGACACTGCTCCTTTTGCAAGCCTAACTAGGGACATATATGACACTTTGTCCTTCTACAGCACTATTCTGGTCATCAAGTTTGAAGAATTGGGTGACTGCTCCACAAGCAAGGCCAGAGCTCTCATTGATGTTAATGTGACTAGTATCCCAGGAGTCATCATGATCCAGGGCAAGAAGTTGAACCTCACTGGTAAACCTGTTGAGCTCCACTGCACATACTGCAAGGAGAGTGGCCATCCAAATGAGGATTGCCTGAGGAAGGGTGAGCTATATAGCTCCCTCCTAGCCAGATTGTCCAACAAGGCCAATGCCACTGATAGCTGGGTTAATAACAGCAACTGTAATACTGCAGGCAACCACATCATCATCACCAACTGCAACAATGAGTGCAGTCATAATAACACTGGCAATCACAACAATTCTGACAACTGTGAAAATACTGTGACAGTGGTGAGCAATGAGTTGCTGCTACCCAAGAAGAACAAGTGTCAAAGGACATGCAAGCTGTCTGCAGTCAGGCCTCAGGCAACTGCTAACACTTCAGTCACTGCTGCACCAGCCACCCCACTCCTGGCTTCATCACATCTTTTGTGTCCCTTTCAACTACACCACAGTCTGCTGTCCACAATGGTATGGCCATCATCCTCAACCCTCCCAACTCTCCCACTCAGCTCACTGCCTCTGGCAACTTGCAGCCCAGAACAACAGGTGCCAGGAAGGGTGGAAGAGCCAACACTCTCCCAGGCTCTATGAGTGGCCCAGCCAATCAGTCAAGTGCTGCACTGGTCACTCCTGTTGGCAACAACAACCAAGGTACGTCTTCCACTGTGTCTATGCAGGATAATGGTCAATTGACCCTTGGTTTTGCTTCTGTCCCCCTGGCAATGATGGTGAAGTTGCACCTGTCCTTTGCTAGTGATGCAATGACTACTGGAGAGCATGGTGAATATCTGACTATGTTGGTGGACCTGATACCCCCAGCAGGTAGTAACCAACCCACTCAGCCTAATAGCGACGAGAGTGTGCAGGCAGCTGTCCATACAATCTGTAGCAAAAGTGGCTCTGAGCGTCTCCTTATTAACAAGATGAGCTTGGGTGGGAGGGCATAAACTCCTCGCCAATCACCATCTGGAATTCCACGTGACCGCATGGCACAGGGGATTTTTTTACACGCGTTGCTCGAAAAAAAAATAAGGGTGGAGCTTGTTTCTCGCGTCGCAAATTGCAAAAAATTATAGTTCATTATTATTTTTCTTCATCATAAATTACTCGCAATTGAATTATGCAGCGACTGGGACTCTTTAGCAGCTCCTATTTGGAGAGACTCAAGGAGGGAGACACAGCAATGCTAGTGCTATCGACGCTGGGCGGTACTGGTGGAGGAGGTGGCGGAGGCGGCGGCGGCAGTGGCAACAATGGTTTTGGCGGTTTAGGAGGATTTGGAAGCCCAAATAATGCAGGCAGCGGCAATATGAATCTGCGTGCACGGTCTACGCGCGCTAGTCGTCGCAATTTGCGAGAGTGGAGTTCTGATTCAGAAAACGAATTTGGAGGTGGCGACGACGACTTTGAGTCGGCGCTTGAGACGGAGCAAAGCTCAATCAAGCACGGAAGCGATAACGATGGCAGTGGAGATAAAGCCAAGGCGCAAGACCTGATGAGCGGCATTGGGTTGCAGCCAGCGTATCAAAATCTGCCAAAGCGGGCTCGGCGTCGAACGGCCCACCAGCACTTGCGAGATAACCAGGCAGCGTGGCTGGCTCAGCAGGAGGAGTCGCTGGTGCCAATTAGGCTAGAGCTAGAGGTCGGAGACTACAGACTACACGACGTATTTGTGTGGAACGCAAAGGAGCAAGTAATTACGCCGGAGCAGTTTGCAGCCGTGTACTGTGCCGACTTATCTCTGCCGCCGAGTGGACGAGTTGGTGCGCAGGAGCATATTGCGCAGCTCATTCAGCAACAGGTGGCAGAGCACATTTCAGCCAATGATTGTGCATATCGAGGCCCTGAGCTGCGTGTCAATCTTAATATCGAGGTGCAGGTTGGACCACACGTGCTGCGAGACCGCGTCGAGTGGGATATCTTAGAGCCCCTTGGCTCAAGACCGGAAGAGTTTGCGCGGTGCCTGTGCCGGGATTTGGGACTGGGTGGTGAGTATCCTCCGCTGGTCGCACATCGCGTGCGCGAAGAAGTAGCGCGCATGCACAAGGAGCTTTCAGAGGCTGGAGAAGCGCACTGGCTAAGACAGAACCCAGTCGACTCGATATTCCGACCAATCAATATGGCAGACGCGTGGGGGCCTAGTATCGAGATCATGTCGGCAGAGGACCTCGATCGTATGTGGATGCACAAGGAGCGCAGCTACCGCCGCATGCGCCGGTCAGAGCGCGGTTCGCATACTCGCTCATTCAACTTTTTGCCACCAGAGTCTGTGCCCGTCGAGTCTGCAGCGGCCGTGTCTAGCTTGGAGCTACCCGATATCAATTCGGCGTTTTATAATCAGCTTTCTCTCAGTGGAAGCGGCGGCGGTGGAAGTGCTGGTGGTGGCGGTGGTATTGATGGCGGACTGAGCAGCGGGGCCACCACACCACAGCCACCGATGCGAAAGGCATACTCTAGCGTAAGAGTGCCTGGAACGCCCACGCGGCCTTCGACACCTACGCGGCCATCAACGCCGCGCAACTACAGCAAGCTGGACCTGAGCACGTGGGAATGCCAGCACTGTGGATGTGCTAGTTCAGTGACGCCGATTCAACGGCAAGGCCCCAACGGTCCCAAGACACTGTGTAATGCATGCGGGATTGCGTGGATGGTCCGCAATCGCCAGGAACTGCCCAGCCACCGCAAAGACTTGTTCCGCAAGTGAATAACGAGTACCTCAACAGTGCTTGCTCCAGTCATTTTTTTATTTTATTTTTCTATTGTATTCGCTCCAACAAGTCGTTGCAGTTCCAAAGAGGTCATGTATAAATAGCAAGCAAAAATGCAAAGCCCGAATTGAATTGGGCGTTTCTGGATATCTGGTGCAAGCGGAACACAACTGTAATCGGAAGTGGCGGGCCAGAGACCAAAAAGCACATCTCCATGTCCAAAAAGCGCACGTTTTGTTACTCGGTGGAATCATAGTAAAAAAGTAATGTTGGGTACCAGGATACAACATCCTCTGCATGCACCGTCAGTGGGTGACATGCTCTTCGCATTCTTTCCCCATCCAGTATGCAGCTCAAATGCGTGTTTTTGCATCAGCTTGTTTTCTAAGTACCCCGTATAGTCTCTTTAAAGAGGAAGAAAACCACACGCATGGCAGTTTTAAAGTTGTTGGGCACACTTGCGACGCAATGAGCATCCCTCATCCGTAGCGGAAAAGATGTGCGCATGCGATGATCACGCTATGATGTATATATATATATTTTTGCGTATTTGACATCCTTGCGAATCCCCGGTGCTAGACCACATGTGAAGACGGAGACGGAGGCCAAGACGGAGATGCCCTCCGACTATTTTCCGGCTAAAGAGAAACTTGATTTAACCGATATAAAAACAAGTATATGTCACAAGATTCAAGGTTGTTTATTTGTTTGTTTTCAATTCGTCCGAGCAGTCTAGAAGAAATAATTGCCCGAATTAGTGGCTGCGCTTGAGCATGTGAACTGCTGCATTCTCAGAGATATGAGGATGCAAAAGCTAGGAAAGCAGGATTGTTGTTTTTGTTGCAGTTGGTTGCGCATGGCGAAAATCCTTATTGCTACTTGTGTCTGAGAATGGGGGAAGGAGGCAAGGCAAATCTGCTAATAATCGCCGTAGTACTTGCTTGGGCCCGTATTCCTTGCTGTCTCCGCGGCAGGGCCAATTGCCTTTTCGCCGCCAAGTAGTGGCGGAAACGAGTGCAGAAGTGCAGGCCTAGTGGATCGGCCCCTTGGTACTCAACTCGCATAGCAGCTATATGATTTTTTCTTTTTCTTGGCCCATGCTGCAGTGTCACTGCTTCACGTATCCGTTGCTCTCATTGTTCTCGCCATCGGCCTCTTATACCCGTCAAATCGGGCGCATGTATCCATCAGTTCGCTCCTTTGCCCCTGTTTCCTTTCTTTCGCTCGTCTTTATTCTTGGTGCTCTGTTTTGCTTTTTTTTTTTGTCTACAGTATATTCAAGGTAAGCCTCTTTTTTTCTCTTTTTCCCACACCTTGTGTTTCGGATGGCAACAACAAAAACAACGACGACAATGACAAATAAGCCGGTGGCTGTATTTCAACCGGAGTGCTAT